CAACCCTCAAGCTTGGGCGAGATGTCCAAAAAGAAGGCGAAGATATATTGAACTATGTTAAGCGGTTCCAAGATAAGGCTATTGACTGTCATGAACCAGTAGATGAGACCCATTTAGTCAGCATTTATGTGGAAGGTGCCACACGCGACTACAAAATCTTCCTAGCGAACCATAATTTGCCTATCTTTTCAGCCTTGATTGAGGTAGCTAGGAACCTTACTACATTGGTCCTTTGCACAGATCTCGTGACGGCCACCGCTACTCCCGCAGTAGCAGAGTTACTGCAGTAACCTCCGCAGGAAGAAGCCGTTCGCAAGGAGAGGCATCATCCTCTTAGAAGAGAAAAAGTTATGAGGACAGAAATCCATATCCTTGTAGCCTTGAGAATGTTAAAGCCTTGGTTAAAGAATGGGTAGCCGATGGTGAACTCACTTTATCTCCGGTTGATGTTCCCCCAACCAAGAAGGACAAAGAAAGTTCGGATTATTGCATCTATCACAGAGCCACTAGACACCCTACTAGGGATTGTTGGACTTTGAAAAGTATCTTTAAGAAGAAAGTTGCTGCAAATGAGCTGAAGTTCAAAGATGTCGGTAATCGTAATGTAAGGAAGGACCCTAATCCTAACCACAAAGAGAAGGGGAAAAATGTACGTATGATTGGGTACCTTGGGCCCGTACGCGATCAAGTGCACATGGCGTCCTACTATCATGAGTTAGAAGAAATTGCTAGCGGCCAACTCCCTGAGACAGTACCTGTAGAGGCAAAATTCACAAAGGATACTCATGCTTAAGCCTAGCAAAACTCTGTTAAGTTTCGTACTTTCTTCGACCAGCTGGAGCTGAGCCAAACCGCTAGGTTAGAAGCAACAAAAGCCCTCATTAACATTTCTGAAGTGCACCATGCTGAAGTTGCTGGGCTAAAGAGTATGTGCCTCGGCGTATCCAAGAAGATTATGGGGGCCATTACTTTTTCAGAAGCAGACAGAGCATACCCTTTTCCTCATAACCGTCATCTTTTTGTCACAGCTTACATTAATGATGTAGAGTTCAAGAATGCTTTCCTTGATGGTGGGGCGTCCATAAGCATCATCACTACTGACACCTTTGCAAAGGTTGGTATCCCAGAGTCCAGGACAGTTCGCCAACCCATTACCATGACGGGTTTTGGTGGTGAGAAAAAAGTTACTAAGGGCTATGTCGTCGTGGACTTAGCAGTTGGCGAGATCCATTCCCCAACTAAGTTCCATGTAATTGAAGTAGACACAAATTACCATATGATACTTGGTAGAGCTTGGATGCACCGATATAGGGCTATCCTATCGAGTTATCTCCAATACGTGAAGGCAAAGTTGGGAAAGCGCACAGTAACCATAAATGCGTCTGAAAAGCCATTCGGAGTGGAGAAGGCACACTATTCGGATGTAGTTTTCTTTACTGAGTTGTCAACGAATAAAACTCCAAGGACTAGTAAAGTTGCAGGGGTAAAATTACTGAAGTGAGAAGACATTCGAAATACAGAGGCTGCTCCAGAAAGTAGTGGGCAGAAGAGGAGCAGCAAGTCCACAAGTCTTCTGCCCAAGATTATTAAGGTGCGTGAGGACGGCAAGACAGTTTACTACTTATGACGGTCTTAGGGGCCAGACTTCATACCTTGGGAGGATGGCCCCGAGACAAATAAATGTGATGGTGATGAGTCCTAGGAAGGGTTAGTGGAGACGCCTGAGCCCGCCCTTGAATGCATGCAAAATAGACCCAAACCGCAGCAGGAGGTACTTGCTAAGATCAACCTCAGTGACTTACCAGGGCAGAGCAAGCCTGTGTTTATTAGCGATACAATGGCTTTAGCAGCTAAGGCGGAATTGATAACACTACTGAAGCGGTACAATGACGCCTTTGCTTGGACATACGACAAGATGCCTAGTCTTGACCCATCCCTTGTCACTCATCATCTGGACACTTTTTCCAACTCTAAGCCAATCAAGCAACATACTCGAAAGTATCACTCTGATCTTGAAGCAAAGACTAAGGCGGAGCTAGAAAAGTTGCATAGGGCCAAGTTCATTGAGCCTATATAGTATCCAACTTGGCTAGCAAATATTATGCTTGTGAAGAAGAAGAATGACCAAATCAGGGTCTGTGTAGACTTTCGCGACCTGAATAAGGCTTGCTCGAAAGATGAGTTTCCATTGCCCCATGCTGACACACTTGTTGATTCTACTACAGGCCATCAGATATTCTCCTTCATGAAAGAGTTCAGTGGTTATAACAAGATCAAAATAACACCAGATGATACAAAAAAGATAGCTTTCAGAACGCTCTTGGGAAATTTTTTCTATACGGTGATGCCCTTTGGTTTGAAAAATGCGGGAGCAACCTACCAACGGGCTATGACTGTAGTGTTCCATGACATGTTGTATCATGAAGTGGAAGTATATGTGGATGATCTGGTGGTTAAGTCTACTAAGGCAAATTGACACCTCTGTGACTTGGAAAAAGTTTTTCAGCATTGCCACAAATTCTACCTGACGATGAACCCTCTCAGATGCGACTTCAGAGTTACCGTCGGTAAGTTCCTTAGCTTTCTTGTACACCAGCGGAGGATCGAAGTAGATGGAGATAAGATCAAGTCGATCATGGAAATGCTACCACCACACTCTCAAAAGGCCTTGAAGAAATTCCGAGGCAAAGTGTCATACCTCAGGAGATTCATTTCAGGCCTTGCTGAGATAACCTTTTCCTTAGGGACATTGCTAAAAGGAAATCACAAGTTTGAATGGTTGCAAGAACGCCAACAAACATTTGATATGGTGAAGAAAACACTTACCTTTCCACTTACAATGATTGCCCCATAACCCGAAAAGCCTCTGCTGCTATGCCTGACCTTTACACCTCAGTCTATTGGAGCTCTACTTGTCCAAGACATAGATGGCATTGAGAAGCTAGTCTATTACATCAATCGTAAAGTCAATGGTGCCGAGTCATGATATACCTCATTTGAGAGGCATTGTTTAGCCTTAATCTTCACAACGCAAAAGTTACACCACTATTTTTTGGCACACCTGATCCAGATTGTGACCCAAAGTGATCCAGTCCGCTACTTGCTGAGCAAGCCCACTCTGACTGGAAGAATGACAGGATGGCTTTTGGCTCTAATAGAATATGGCATCACTTGTGTTACTCCCAAGGCTATTAAGAGCCAAGCACTTGCAGACTTACTGGCCTAATTCCTATCTAGTGAACATAAACTTGCAGAGGTACCTCTACCAGGTAAGGTCCATGTCTCAGCAGCTGTAGTTGAGACTTATTAGGACTTAAAATTTGATGGAGCTTACAGAGTTGGGAAAGGTGGAGCTGGCATAACACTAACCAGTCAAGAAGGAGAGAGGTTTCATCTATCATATAAGCTTGACTTTGAATATTCCAACAACGAGGCAGAATATGAGGCATTGATACTGGGTCTAATTGCTGCTCAAAAGAAAGGCCTCCGCAAGTTGAAAATTTGGTACGACTCCAAGCTAGTTGTCAAGTAAACAATTGGTGATTTCACCTTGAAGGAGCCTCTGTTGACCCCATATCACACCGTAGTTCAAAGGTTGCTCACTCAGTTTGATGATATCCAAATCCAGCATACCTCTAGAACACACAACCGTTTCCCCGATGCCTTGGCTACACTAGGGGCAAAGGTGGATATACTAAATAATAGTATAGCCATCGTCATCGAGAAAAGAACAACACCAGCAATGTTAGCCGAAGAACATATAGAGCAAGATGCTAAGGAGTGGAAAGCAGATATAATCCAGCAGTTGAAAATAGGCCAAGGAACAATCAAACCAACAGAACTTGAATCATTCCTGTTTCTTAGAAGAGAGTTGTATTTTCACAGTCCCAACAACTTGCTAGCAAGGTGCATCGGTAGACAAGAAGAAACTTACAGGCTTAAGTAGATCCATGTTAAGTCCTGTGGAGATAGAGATATCAGTCTATACCGACGGATACACAGGCAAGAGTATTACTGGCCAGAGATGGAAAAGGAAAGCAATGAGTTGCAGAGGCAATGTGCAAAATGTTAGTCCCATCCTAAAGAGGAATAAGCCCATTTCTTAAGCAATGAGAAATGGAGGTAGCTGTATATTGACTATCTTGGAAAAGGCACACTGCCTGAGAACAAAGCCGATGTAATTAGAGTTAAGAAGCGGGCCCTCCGCTTCTTCCTTGACCAAGGCAAGCTCATTAATTATGAGGGTCACGGAACATCAATCGGTTTCTAATTCGGCCGCCGATAAGGCCTTCAATTAGCAGTTTAAACATATAAACATGAACAGATAATCAGACAATCAAACAGATAGAATGTAATTAACCATCATATACTCAGTTAATTCAGATTCCAATTTCAGTCAGTCGGTTCAGTATTTCATTCAGTTCGATTATCAGTTAGTTATCAGTCATTATCAGCTTCGTTTAACAGTAATCGGTGATTATCGGTAATCAATCAGTCCCTAATCAGTAAACAGTATGAGGGTTGTTACATATATTGACTATCTTGGAAAAGGCACACTGCCTGAGAACAAAGCCGATGTAATTAGAGTTAAGAGGCGGGCCCTCCGCTTCTTCCTTGACCAAGGCAAGCTGAATCGCAAAAGCTTTGAAGGGGAACCTTTGCTGTGTTTATCAAAGGATGAGGCAAATGAAGTGCTGAGGGAAGCCCACAAGGCAGAACATTAAGGAACGCAACGATTGTATGGGCACTTTATTCACCTCGGCTATTACTGGCCGACAATGGAAGAATGTGCTAAAAACTTTGTAAGGAGATGTCAATCCTACCAGAAGTTTGGGAACTTGATACATGCACTGGTAGTTGAACTGCATAACATCAAGACCCCTTACCCGTTTCATACTTGGACATTTGACTTGGTAGGTTCTATAGCGCAGTAATCCAAAGGCCACAGATGGATACTTGCAGCGACTGAAGTTAGTACCAAATGGGTAGAGGCTATACCGATGAGAAAGACAGATGGGGTAGGAGTGTCCAACTTCATCAAGGAACACATAATCTGTAGGTTTGGTATACCCAAAGTAATGTTATCTGACAATGGAACTCCTTTTGTAAATCGTCATGTAGAAAGACTGTTGGACACTTGTCAGATCAAGCACCACAAGTCTATCCCATACTACCCGCAAGGGAACGGACAAGCTGAAGCAACCAACAAAACTCTTATCCGAATATTGAGTAAAATGATGGATGAAGCAGGGGGCACATGGTCTGAACAACTCCATATAGCACTCTGGGCATATAGAACGTCAAAGAGGAGTCCAACTCAAACAACCCCATTTTCCCTAGTATATAGGTCCGAAGCTGTGTTACCAGTTGAGTTGGCAGTACCCTTAGCAAGAATGGCTATGTCAGCACACATAGTTCCAGACAACAAAAAGAACGACATAGAGGTAGCCAAAGAAAGAAGGGATCGGGCCTTGCGGGCAATGGAAAAGTATTATCAGTCCATAGCTCGGGCCTACAATCAGTCTGTTCAACACAGGAAGTTCAAGGAGGGGGACTTGGCATAGAAGACAATGGACGCAATCATGCAGGGGCAACCAATCGCCAAGTTGTCACCCAGATGGGAAGGCCCCTACCAAGTTGCTGAGGCAAGCAGCAGCGGGTATTACAAGTTGACAAGAATAGATGATGGGTTCAAAACTAGCTCTATTAATGCCAAGTATGTCAAAGAGTATTTTCCTTAGTTTCTTTTGTTCAAAAAAAAAAAAGAAAAAAAAAGAGTTGTAAGTTTCTTTGTTAATACTTTCAAAGCAAGTATCATACACTTAGTAAACCTGTTACTCTTGTAAACACTCAGTGCAAGGAAAGTTTTCCATACTTTAGGCTTCATTTGGGAAGTGGCCGATTTAGCCAAAAAGCCAACAACCCATACCAAAATGTCAAAGATTCTGTTTTCTCTCTACTTTTTGCACATCTTTTCGTAAAAAGTCAAAAAGTCACCCCAAATATACTAGTTTTTTTTAGCTAGTATTTTAGCCAAATAGCCAAAAAGTTACTAAATTAGCTTGTTCCCAAACGAGGCAGTGAAATTTTAGCCTTGTAAAAACTTAGTCATGGCGAAGTTCCATTCATAGTAAGAGTTTTGTTCAGCCTTAAAAGATATGTAAAGGCAATGAAAAGAAGGCAATGAAGTAAGACTCAATATTTTTGCTTCTCATAAACATCAAAGTTTTTTATAGCATGATTACAACGTTCAAAAGGCAAAGGAGAAAAAAAAAAGATAGCAAAAGTGCAAAGAAAAAAAGCCATAATAAAACCACAATACATCAAATCAAGCCCTTTATGAGGGAGTCCATCAGGGTCACATCCCGAGGTAACTGAGCAACCAGCACAGAGTCCTTTTCTTTGAACCGAGATAGGTTCTGCCGGTGCTACTCCAAGGCGCCCTCACACTTCTTAATAGTCTCCTTCAAAGATGAAATCATCGAAACATTATCTGTATGTTCAAGGAAACCATCAACTGCCTGAAGCCTATCATTCATCCTTGATAGGTCCAAACCGTTCCTCTCAAAGTCGCTTAGGTTGGCCTCAGCACCTTCCACAAACTTGTTGGGGGTTGTCAAAATCTTCTTAGCAGCAAGGTCGCGAATGAAGCTGGCAAGTGACTCCAGCAACGCTGTCTGCACCATGGATCCAGGAACATTAAAAGCAGTAAAGGTACCGGGGTGCAGCGTGTAGATGTGGGCAAGAGTGGGAGCAGCTTCGGAGGAGACCCAATACCTTAGAAAAGAAACTTTCCCTGAGGACTGAAGGGACTCTCTCACACTATCACTAGCTTCAATCAATGGAAGGAGACGCACTTCCCCCGAAGATGATTGCCCAATAGCATTGGAATGGGTAGATGTTGGGTGGCGACCTAGCGAACTGGCCTCGCGAGAAAGGCCAAAGCTGCCTGCACCATCATGTCACTCCGAAAAGAGGTCGTCCATATAGTAGTCCTCAACATTTAGATCTAGTACAATAGTGGTATCCATGCCCACATAAAAGTCTCGTGATCCCCTAAGATTAGCTGGCACCTTAGGGAAGTGAGTAGGGTACAGATCAGTGAGCTGCTCAGAAGTTGCTGAGGCAACTGAGTCAGAAGCATCAATAACAGCAGTAGTACCATGAGCGGCCAGATCGACATTTGCATCCGCAAGTTAAGCTAAACTTGGGGGGTCCACGGCAGGAACAACCGCTACATCTGCACCTCCCTCAACAACTTGAACATTAGGGAGTGGGGTCTGTAGAACCAGTGGAGACTCAGTGGACTAGGAAGAACCCCCAAATACAGCTCCCAAGGGGGGTGGTGCAACTCCTAGTGACTCTCTTACGCCACGATCCTCTCTCGGAGTCTCTAGAACAAAATCATCTCCGTCGATAGAGGAACGATCAAAGTAAACAGAATCAGTTAGGTTTGGAGGTTCTACACTCTCAGCAACTATACCACCCGCTGCAACTTCCACAACAGAGGGGACTTGTTCGTTTACTGCAGCCTCAACAACTGACTCAGCCTCAGTAGTTGGTTCGGCCTCAGCACTTGGTTCTTCTTCAACATCTAGAAGTACTATCCTGCGGGTTCTAAATCTTGTGACCCTTAAAGCAATGGAAAGGTCGTCGTCGTCATCGTCGTCGTCTGAATCTGAGGAAATTCCGATGGCAATAGAAGAACCTTTGGGGCCCGAATGTAAATACTAAAATAAATGTAAAAAGTCCAAGGAAGTAATGCAAAAACATTTTTCAAGTATGGGTACCTTTCGAAGTCTCTTCCTACTTGGTGACGCACGTGCCTCAGCAACTGATGCTGCTACCTTTTGGGTTGCCCTCAATCTGGAATGAGTCATGCGCACTGTTACACCAATCGGGAGAAGAATAACTTGCTGGAGTTGGACGGACATTACCCCAGATGGATAAGACTCCTTTACTATAGGTAGGGATAGAAGCTTGAAATGGTAGAATATACTAGTCTGTTTCCCTCGACTAGAGGAGAGACGAAGGGATAAGTCAGGCTGCAGAATGGGTTCCATCGTAGGGACAACGGGAGTACTGTTGCAAAAGTTGAAACAGGAGTTGAGGTTACGGTGCCAGAACAGCCTGTTACTGGAAGTAAAGGCACCTTCTCGTCAAGTGAAGGCAACTTCATAAGGCCTAAACCCTCCAGGAGTAAGGCGGTGTAGTCATGTGCAAACCTCTGGAAGCTCTGATGAAAATCTGTTTGAGGCAGAGGGGCGTGAGGGATGCCTTGGTCCATACCAAATTGCCTAAGGACCCTATCCGGTCTTTAGACAACACTGGACATGCCCTCCTCATTCCATACGAGCAGAAACCCGGGACGTATCATGGCAACCAGTAGCAGGGATTTGGCCTGGACGCCGTCAAGGGAGAAATCAACATAACGAGCCTCTGAGAAATAGAATTGGACACTAGAAATGCCTTGAAGAAGTTGGATAAAATGGTGGAACATACACTCCTCCATACGATCAACGTAATCCACGAAGGGTCTGTTGGTGCCAAGACCAGACTACCGAGAGATGTGAGGGAGGGATTGGCGCACTTGTCTTGTGACAGGTCGACCTTTTGCATCTAGAATAGGACGACCCTCTGTATCGAGAACTTCGTTGGTGAAGAAGGGCACATGCTCTTTATGGACGGGGCCCATAGTAGGGAATCACTCATAGAAGAAGGCGGTCAAGAACAAAGTGTGTACAAAGCTCCATACATCATAGCGGCTGATGGACCTTTCCATGTTTGAGTGAATAAGGTCAAGGCGGAAGTATAAGTTCCCCAAGAAGAAAGGGGTCAAAGGGATCTGACTGCCGCTGCAGAGTTTAACAGCTAGAGGGAACGCCAGAGGATTGATACTCTCAGCAGGGTTGCTAGGGAGAACAAAAAAAAAGATAAAATAACTGACAAAGGTAGCCAGGTACAAGTTGTCGCGGTAGCCTGGCCCAACTATGGAGTTGCGGCTCTCTTCTATAATGTCGCCCATAACCGGTTGCAGGTCCTTGAAGAAATGTTTCAGCCAGGAAAGGTAGGTGGTCTTATCGTTCTTGGGCCTCTCTTAGAGCAATTCCCCAGTCTTAAGATCGTACCAAGAGCCATACTTCTGTGCCTCTTAAAAGGCACTTTGGAAGGCAATGACGACATTTTGTTCTGCAGAAGTCAGGGAAGCTGGATTGAAGAGGTGGTCTCTACGAGTACTTAGGTGTAGAAGAGCAGCAACATCTTCGAAGGTTAGGATTACCTCCTCTCATGCTAAGGAAAAGGTGTGAGTGTCGCGGCTCTAGCGGAAGACGATCATATCAGTGTTGGTCTGTATCTTGAACACTGATAACTCCTTCGAAATCAAAACGGCATTGAAGAGACAAACATCCCTCGAGCGCTGTTCGAAACTGTCATCCGCAATGATGTTATCAATCCAGAGGGACCAGTTTGCTGGAAGGCCCGAGTGAGTGCAGTAGTAGATGTATAAATGGGAAAAGTCGCCACACTCCATGCGAAACCGCAACACAGAGACTGGGTTCACCATGTTAGCATCGTCCAAAGTAGCCTCACTAAAAGGGAGCAGAGGCTTCTCCAGAGGGAGGGCATCAAGGAAGAAGGAGTCAACTGCCTTCCAGAAGGGGTCAGCCAACCCTCCGAAGTATGGGACCCTCCTCCACTCAGTAAGGGGAGGGGCAGTCCGGTGGGGTAAAAACCTTGTGCTGGCCATAAGGAAGAATAAAGAAAAGTAAAGAAGACTTTGAAAAGTGGGGGCAAGGAAGAGAAGAAGACAAGGAGACAAGAAAGTGTGTTGTGGCAGAAGTGGGGGACTAGTGGACCCAAGAGGCACTATTTATAGAAAGAGTAGCAAAAGGGTGCCAATACACTTCTCTAGAGCATCAGTAAAAATGACACCTTTTCCGAGCCACTATGACTCTATAGAAAACTGACGCACCCCCAGACCCAACCGACGCAACCCCTGGATTACTTGGTGATTTCAATTCGTAATGTTCATACCTCGTTCGAAAAGCAGTTTTGTCAATGTCTTCTGGTTTAACTTTCAACTGATGGTATCCTGATCTGAGGTCGATCTTAGAGAACACTTGAGCACCCTGTAACTGATCAAATAAGTCATCAATACGTGGCAATGGGTATTTATTTTTCACAGTTACCTTGTTCAGTTCACGGTAGTCAATACACAGTCTTAGTGAGCCGTTTTTCTTCTTTACAAATAAAACAGGAGCGCCCCATGGCGAAGTACTAGGCCTGATGAACTTCTTATCTAGCAGTTCTTGCAGTTGCACTTTCAATTCTTTCAGTTCAGTTGGAGCCATTCAGTAAGGAGCTTTAGATATTGGCTGCATTCCCGGAATCACATCAACAGTAAATTCAATCTCCCTGTCAATCAAATCCCCTGGCAGATTATCTGGAAAAACATCTGGGAATTCTCTGACTATAGGAATACTGTTCACGTTAGCATTATCATCAGTAGATACAGTCAATACAGAACACAGATATCCCTTACACCCCTTTCTAACCAATTTAA